CTCAATGTCCCTCTATTTTCCACTCCTCTACACCTGTCTGTGGGCCTAAATCTATCATATCGTTTTTGAGCATGTTTGAGTTCTTAGTATGCTACGGAACAAAGCAAGACTTAGGAAGTCTAAATCTTTCAGGGTAAATTTCATTTGATTTTGCGAGGATTTATCTACCGGTAGTTGTTTCCAAAGCTCAAGATTACAAAACTTTGCTCAAGTCGCCCATCTGCTTGAAATATTAGCGCTGGGGACAGCTTAAAAAGTTATTCATTGACACAAGTATACAACAAATAGCCACATTCACTTCAAAATAATACGAGAATTGATTATGAAAAGCATAAATTGTTATCATTTCCTTGGACATTATTTCCTTGGATACAGTCAATGTCTTAATTTATGTTCAACTGGTGCAGTTATCTGAAAATGGAGGCTAATATGATATCATCCCTTTGAAGTTGAATGAAAGACAAAGATAAGGGCTAGGACGGGTCTGTTGTCGGGGTAAGAGGGGTAATATGCAATTAAGCACAAAGTTGGACAAGTGGGCCAATAATTAGGTCTCATATTTGAAATTAGATTCAGACCTAGATTTCGAAATTACTCTTGATGAGATCAGAGGTAATGTGGTGAAATAATGACCACCCATGATGTTCTTAGAAAGTCATCACAGTGTCTGCTTAATACCACAGCAACAGAATTACATCATTTTCATTTAGCAGATTTCTTGGCAGTGTTCACACTTGGTATTAAGCTGATGCAACTATATGTGGCAACCTTGCTAAACTTCTGGTAGAAGAGATAGAAGTCACTCTAATACATATACCACAGCATCACAATTACATTATTTTCATTCAGCAGATTTTGTGGCAGTGTTCACACTTGATATTAAGCTGATGAAAGTGCATAGCAATCTTGCTCAACCTCTGGTAGAAGAGGTAGAAATCACTCTAATAACACAGCTCCTGTATTACACTGTAATCATTGAGCACATCACTTGGTAGTGTTCATACTAGTAATGGAGGAGGTGCATACAATCTTGCTCTGCTTCTAGAAGTCATCTCTCACTGTCTACATGTCATAGCATATATGAATGACTTCATATTTTTATTTAAGTTTAATGGCAATGTTCATACTTTGCCAATTTGATGCTTAACAACCAAATGTGTAAACCTAGCAAATTCAAAGAAGGATACCCTGGTCCATCTTTGTATGTAATCGTTGCCAATTTTATGCAACACGACCAAGGAAAAGATGTGAACCTGAGGATGCATGGTCGGGGAAATTTCTGGATGTAATCGCTGCCAATTTGATACCACTCACACAACCAAGAAAAAAATGTGAACACAGTTACAGTGAATGTAGAAGGCTAGGACGCATCTATGGATGTGAATGTTGCCGATTCGATCAAAATAAAGTCAGTGGGTGTGTGGAAATGTTGACTCTTTGTTTTGTCGTGGCTCATCTTAACCGACCCCAGAGAGATAAGTTTTGGCAAGGGTGGGCAATTAACCTAAATATCACTCATTGATCATTAACCATATGTAGGGCAGGTTATGTTCCGCACATGAAAGTACGTCATGTGTTGGACGCCTTGCTCGTTGGTTGATTTTAACCGCAGATGAGAAGGAGATAGATACAAAGAAGGTAGGAAGACAGAAAAAAACAGGGAGGGAGAGAGACAAATTGATAATGTCATCTCAAAGGATTCTTCCTTTTTAAGCACAGAACAGAAATCGGTTGAATGGAAACCTAATTTCATTATCATTCATTCATTCATTATAGTTGATTGTATGGCAATCAAGGCAATATTTTTGATTCATAAAAGTTTGTAATGAACTGTAATGAAGCTAAGCATTGAAAGTAATGTCCTATTACGGAACTGATGCCCACTAGAAAATGATCAAAGTTTCATCATAAACAATGAATAATAATGGGATTGATTTTCCAGAAGTTACTTTTTTTTCATTAATATTATTCCAACAAAATTTACTGCTATGTAAAAAGAGGCGACAAAGAAATCCATCATTTTTAAAAATAAATTGCAGAATTCTTAAAATCGACTCAATCATTGGCTATCTCTATATATGGAACAAATGATTGATAAAGGAAAAAGGTAAAGAGGCCGAGACAGCAGACAAGAGGGCGAAAAATAAAGGGACGGGGGGGGGGGGGAGAAATAAAGGGTGAAGTTACAAGAGACAGAGAAAGAGAGAGAGGGGGAGGGAGGGAAAGAGAGAAAGAGTAAGTGAAAGAAAGAGAGAGAGAGAGAGAGAGAGAGGGGGGGGGAACTTTGTCAATTTCTCACTGTACTTTTGCCACATCTGACCTTCACATGTGAGAAATTGCAACATAAATATCCATAAAATTGTTTTTCTTCTCTTCTTTTCTGTCATGTTTACAACATCAAACCTCATCACAGCCCTCCTCCTGCAAACATAGGGGCTGCCCGTGACAAAGACATTTAGCCCAGTTCCAAGCTGAATCTGCTACAGGAAATATTAATTTATCCATTTGTTACACTCTTGGCAGGCCAGCACAAGTGAACTGTCAGCCTGCATATGACGGTGGACGACTGACGGTCCGTCCGTACGTCCAGCCAGGCGCCCTCGGCTCCAACCAGACTTCATCTTGTCACAAACTTGTCTCCTCGTGGCCTAAATAGTTTCCTTCTTTGTTTACTATCTCTCCCTCTCTCTCTCTCTCTCTCTTCCATCATTTTATCTCTATTTGCATACGATCCTATTCTGTTGTTCTGCCAATATCTTATTATTTCATCATGATCCATTTTCTACCACTTTGTCTTCACATAACTTCCTCCCTATATACTCATGTTTCTAACTGTTGATTTGTACCTGGCTCTACATGGTTTAATTAGACCTTTTAAAAGAAATACTGCTCATCTAATTCACTTTTATTTTCAAAGAACTGTCTATGTATTAATATTCCCCCTCTTTCTCTCTCTTCCTGTTCTGTTCACTTTATCTCTGTATGTCCCTCTTTCTCTCTTTTTCCCTTCTCTGTTTTAATACTTATCTCTCTTTTCCCTTGAGTTCTATCACTTTGTAAACTCAATGTGTATCTCTTTCTCTCCCTCTTTACATCTCTTTAACTCTCTTTCTCTACCTTTCTTGCCTAATTTTCCATCTATTTATATTCACATCTTTATAAATCTTTCATTTTCTCTTTTCTTCTATCACAACTTGTTCATCTTTCCCTACTTTTCTCATTTTTAAAAATAGATCTTCTATTCTTCTGTCATTTCTCCTTATCTCTCTCTCTCTCTCTTTACCTCTCTCTCTCTCCTTCTCCCTCTCTCTCTCTCTCCCTCCCCCTTCTCTCCCCCTCTCTCTCTCTCTCTCTCTCTCTCTCTCTCTCTCTCCTCTCTCTCTCTCCCTCTACCTGTCTCTTGCGTTTGGTATCTTCCACTCTTCACCCGTAACACATGAGGCCCAGGAATGTAAACAACTTTGGTCTCAAACTTTGTGTTTTTTTTTTGTGTGGTGAATAAAAAATATGTCACTAGTCAACATAAGTCAAGTTCAATGACAAGGGAGCGAGATTGATAAGATAACATAGCGTTTCAACATAAATATTGCTCTCCAAACCAAAGCAAACTGGGTGAAAAATTTGACAACTCCGATGCACAGCTCCAGTGAACTCTTCTCGATGCTCAAATTACTGAGAAGAATGTGCAGTTAAAGGTACTGTTTACTATTCAATTTAAATTACAAACTTTTCATTTTGAACGCGATACAAGCAGCAAGTCAACTACTTATTGAATTCTTACATAAATATTCATATTTAGGATGAGTTCATGCAACCTAATAAGTGAATTATTAGGTGAATATTGAGTTGGTTTTAATGAAAGCAGAAAAATTAGAAAAACAGATCAGTTAAAGTTTGACCAAAAAACGATTAAAAGTAAGAAAGTTATGATTTTTTAGAATCTTCAACAATTTATATTTTCAATTATACATTCACCCTAAATTTAATTATTTCAAATATGCTTTTTTATACAACCCCTCTTTGAAACAAATCTTTTCCATCATCAATAATTAAGAAAATTAAAGTTTAAGAAATTTTCTTTACAGAAAAAATTGGTTAGGAGCTCACATGTTAGGTCACAGAGTTGCCAATTTGTGTTTGATTGACCTCAACTTCCAAATTAATAACATCCTATTTTTCATTGCATTTTGCTCAACTTTCAGTGATCACTGATGATATCCAGATGGACTTCCCCTTTAAGCAAGTGGTCTACACACTAACTGTTCAATATAACAGTATTCATATTGAGTCTACGGCAAGAGCTGAGAGCGTACTACACGATCGTAACACTGAAGGAATCTGATGACATTGTTTGGGATATTATTCATTAATGACTGTATGAGAGTTATCATCTTGATCTCAATATACAGGTTTTCTGACTTTTAGATGCCAATCACTATTAGAAATATTCAGATGGAAAAAAAAAAGGGGAAAAAAAAGACTTTTGTAAACTATGTAATTCTCTGTACTAACACTGTTGTTGCATATTGCTCATAATGTAAAAGTGTTGTAGTCAGGTGGTTTAAACACATGACTGAAGATGCAAAGGACATGAGCTTGATCCCTGACATAGCACTAATGCCCTTTAGCAAGGCATTTTATCTATGTTGCCTCTCTCCACTTAGGTGTTGAATGGGTACCCAGTCCAATGTGTAAGTCATCATAGTTTGCTCTGCATTGTGAGGAGTGTCTGTAACATGGCTCCTGGCTAGAATACTCCTCAGGAAGTGGAGAATGTGCATATCTTGTGTGCAGGCAAGCCTGAATCCGATGACCAGGGTGATTACATTTCTGTACAGTCCCTTGAGACATCGTAGATGTATTAAGCGCTAATGGGCTCCTGCCAATGCAGCAGATATTTGCTCAATCTTGCTCAGTAAGTGTATTCCACAACACAACACAGCAACTGGAACCTATTGTTACTTCATACTAGATCAAAGAAAGATTCATGCATCACATACCTCAACAAGATGGTTGTCCGGTCCGTAGAGGTCCTTGTCAAGCTCGATGACCAGGCTCTTGAAGAAAGAAGAAAACTTGCGCTTCTGCCGTGTGTCATACTTGGGTGCACTTGGCTATGAATTTACAGATATAAAAGACAGTATGGTGGATGAAACAGTGGAGGACATGAATAAGGATGAGAATATTATGATAGAATGAAGAAAGAAGTGAAAGAAAGAAGAGATGAATGAAATGAGATTTTAGTTAGTGTGCTAAATACTTCTTGACTTCGTAACTCATAGACTTCTGAATTGTTTTATCCATAGGCTTTAAAGGGACTTGGTAACATTGTTCAGATGAGAGAAAATGGTGCTAAGGTAGTGACTTCAATGCTAGATGTACAAATAAAGATAATCTGAAAGTTTGAGTGAAAACTGACCATTATTAATGATAAAATTGGGAAGAACTGATCTGATTGATTCCTTAATTCTCCCAACTATATTATTACAGTTTAATTACATTTTAAGTGAATGTAATCTTCACAAAGCAATGAAGTAGCTCTATATACCATTCCAGACACTGAAAGATTTTTAAAGCCTGGAGCAATTGCCTCAGGAGCAAATGGGGGGTCACTGGAGAGTAAAGTGTGCAATGTAAAAGCAGAAATGTACTTGAACACAATTAACACCCCCCCCCCCCACTCCTATAACCATCTCAAACTCCCCTATTAATTCTACTTCTTATCCCATAAACTTACATCCTCTAGTAGTCTCCCTTCCACTCTCAGCTCCCAGGATGGAACGCTGGAATCATCTTCCTCCGCATCCGGTTTGCCGGGGTAGTACGTGTTGGAGATGAAAACCCTCAGCTTGCGTTTTTGCTGCAAAGATACCCATAAAAAAGAGCAAGGATTTAATAAATGAAGCATGCTATATTAAGCAATTGAACATTTGCCAATTGGTATTATTTCTAGACAGCTCCCTCTAATGTTATGATTGAAGAAATCTAAGTCTTTATTTGTTATTATTATCATTTATTGTTTTTACTTTTGTTCTCTGACTTGGCAATGGTTATACAATAAGCACAAATTACCTCTGTTACTGTTATTCATATAATAGAGGCCGAGTGGATGAAACACGAGTCACTGACATGAGGTATCAAGACAGAGTTAAAGCATCTGCAATCATATGCATCATGCATTAATCTTGAAGTACTTAGTCCCAAGAAGAATATGTATTAGGCTATAGGTTTAATAGTTGCGTATTGCTTATATGTAGAGGTGTCGTGATATAGTGGATATGACACCAGACTGTGGATCACATGGTTTGTGGTTCAAGTCCCACCTAGGTGAAGTAAAGTGCCGTTGCCTTATCATGGCAGCTCAGTTCATCAGCTGGGGTAGAAATTTACTTTGTATTAAAGTGCAGTAGAATATATTCATATAGTAGCTGTGTTATGGCTCGAATATTCCAGAGCATTATACTTTCCATAAAGATTTGGATATTATGATCACTTACATAAGTAGGGTTCAACTCATACTGCAATGTGCACTCATTTGAATTCCCCAAAAACAACAAGAAAAGTAGATATGGACGGTATAAATATAAATTTGATTTTAAGGATTAATCTTTATAAAGATTAAGAGCTCTCTCAAAATGGTTTTAAATGTAACTGTACATGTACTAGATACCTTTCCCTAAATTTAATAAGCTAGCATTTACAAAGTATAATACACTCTATAAAATGCTGACTGTACATCACACAGATATGTGGCTATCTAGAGCAAAAATATAGGTCACATTAATTCTTAATTCCTCATAACAATAATAAATGCCAATAACTTTATTTTGTTTCCCCTTTGGAACTTAAGGGTTTCAGTCGGGAGTTCAAAAATTGGGCATTCGAAGACCGGTCATTAAACATTTAGATCCCTTATCAAGGGATCGTTAACACGCACAAACAAAGCTTTGCGGCGGCAGCAGTAGGGGAAAAATAGGGCCTTGTTGGCTTGTATGAATGCATGCTCTTAAAAGATTAATTTGAATAGATAGATCATGGTAGATCTAGGTCATTTGTGAGACTGTCAACTCGCCAACAAACACTCATCCATTTGATCCTGTCTCGTGGCCCAAATACACATCAATGAAAGACAAAGAGATAAACCAACAAACACATCAAAATTTGTGTAATTGTGTACAGGCTTTTGTGTCGAACAATGGCTGTCCCATCATTGATCACTCAAAGACTCGATTCTCTTCTCTTCTCTCTCGCTTACTCTATCCCGGTCTTTCTCTCTTTAGCCTACTTTCTTTTGAAGATAGCTGATGCGTGTTTAACGACAATGCCATTTTCAAGCTCCATTATTCAAACTGGTTCAGAGTGATAAATTTCAATGCACTTTTGTGTCGCTACGCACGCATAGAGGGCTCATCTTGCAACACGGCAGCAACAAACTTTTATACAGAGAGAGATAGAGAGAGGAGTAAGGAAGAGATAGAAAGAGGGAGTGAGAGAGAGAAAGAAATTGATAGAGAGAAATAAATTGATGGAGAGAAAGAGAGATAAAGAGAAGGGAAGAATCGACAGGCACACAAGCTCTCGGAGAAGGTGAGGGGTAATTCAGAGAGAGGGGAGAGAGAGGGGGGGAGAGAGAGGGAGAGAGATAGAGAGAGAGAGAGAGAGAGAGAGAGAGAGAGGGGAGAGGGTAGAAAGTACGGTATCAATAAGAAGTTTCTTTGAAGAGGATAAATACAGAAAAATTGGAGGAAACAAAACAAACAAGAGAAAGGGATATAAAAATGATTTTTACACTGTTGTTGGAAAGAGAGAGAGAGATAGAGAGAGAGAGGGGGGGGGGGGGACAGGTATGGAAATAGAGTCAGACCCACCCCCCCACACAATTAAAACAAAAAACAAAAAACAAACACACAGAATAAAATCATTTATAGGAAAAAATAATCATAAAGACAAAGCAGGACAAATGAATGCAAGAATCGAGGGGATCGAGGCAGCAAGAAAGAGAACAGAATACAAGGATCTAATAAAATGAGAGAAAAAAATGTGGAGACATAAAAGAACAGCGAAAATGACAGAAAGACGAAGATCAACATGACTGGAAGATGATGAAGTATAGCTATTGAAGAGGCGATATAAAAGCTTCACAAACATAACCTAAATATCATTGAATCCTTGTCATAACACAATCAATTATCCCATTGTCAGCTGCCAGTCTATTTAACAAATCGCTCCTCTCCGAGCACTCCCTCCCTCTCTTTCCCCAAACTTATTCTCTCTCCCTCTCTTTATAGTTTCCATCGACTGTGTGGGCACAGTACTGTATAGGAACTATGATATCTTCACTGTACTAGACTACCATATTTTGTTTAATGTGAAGGCCATGTTGCTGTATGTTGTGAATGACATTTAAGTCAGCATTTATATTTTTACCACAAATATCTGTAATAATGACCAAAAAAATGTGGAGGCCAAGTTGCTGCTCATTGTAAATGAATTTACATTTTTACCACAACATCTGTAATAATGACAAATTTACCTTCTTTTCTTCATCCTTTTTCTTTCAATGTCTTTTAAAACTGTACATACACCATCATATACACCTACAACTACAAGGGATCAATTTTTAAATACAGTTGTGCATACAGAACATTCAGGTTATCTTTCAACAGAGTATACTCCCACAAGTTATATTGAGAATACAACCTCCCACTCAAATTAAAACTAAAATCACATGAAAAGTATCCCTCTTCATATTAAAGAAGTTATATCGTTTGGTTGCTTTGGGTGCTTTCAGGGTCTGTTAGCTGAGACTATCATCACTGTGGTTTGAGTTGTATGGAATGCTTTTTGATTGGTTGATTGATGTACATGGCGTTGTCGTCCTACCGATTGGGAAGTGCACCAGGGGGGTGTTTCACAAAGATTCTAAGTCGAACTTAACTCTAAGTTGGACTTAAACATTATGGAGAGCCATTTGTAGACTTAAAATAAAATATTCAAAAGCAAAAATTGAAATATTTTAGACTTTTCATAAATTCCACATCAAGAACATGAACTCTCCCATGATAATAGAAAATATTAATGATTTTAATCAACATTCTATGCCTTTTAAAATAACTTTTACAAAATATTTTCACAGATGCTAACTGCTATCCATAATTTTAAAGTCCAACTTAGAGATAAGTTCAACTTAAGATCTTTGTGAAACACCCCCCAGGTCTCAAGTCATTCACTCTATCAAGAGAGTCACTGCAATTCCATTTGTATTCCTCTTTTCAATAAATGCCTTGAAAGCATCGAACATTGCTCTCTTTTTTTTTGGTGTGACAATGCACACAGAGTTTATTGGGGGTGGAGAACTATTTAGGGGTGTCAGAGCTCTTTCCACACTAACATTAATCAATATCAGCATACTTTATCACAAAGAGTTCTATCAATTATGACCCATTTAATGATGCAACCATTTTGACATATATCTGGGAATACTGGCTGAAACATAACAAAGCTTGCAAGTGCTCTTCTTTTATGGACTGCTACAGCCAATGGCCCAAACTGCTACAAGATACATATGCAAATAAGACAGGGAAATTTAAGGAAGGAAGATAATGATTTTTAAAAAGAAGCAAGAGGAAATTAATCTTCATCAGCTCACCTCTGAAGGCTATATATTTTTCCTTTATTACAGATATTAAGAAAATAACCAGGCCACTTTGCAGAGGCTCATGCATCTGTGATTTATAAGAGAACGGTTCATTTTACACCTCAAAGGCATTTTCCTTTGGTTAGAATATGATATCTGCAACTTGTAAGACAAAACTGCATGACTACTGTCAATGGATTGAAGAAGTATATTTGTCTCATTCACTAGCAAAGGCATTCATTTGAGTTCGGGTAAGTGAGTTAATATACCTTCTGGCTTTAAAAGAGAGAGGATTTGGAATTGTGTCAACACACCCTCGCCATTTCTTTGAAAGCTTCAAAGTGGTTCACTTATTAGAGTGAGGTTTTTGGAGTTCAACAGACGACAGGTCAGAGACATCATCGCTCAGTGTGTAAGTGTGTGTGTATGACTCTCTCTCTCTCTCTCTTCCTTTCTGCAGCCCCATTCTTACACTTCCATGTAAGCTGGCTCTATATCCAGTTGAATCCAATTGGATCCGGTTGGATTTAGTTTAATCTTGATTAAAGACTGACCATGACTTCAATTTGAGAGATCCAAAGATGGGCAAGATTAAACTATTGAATAAATTGAAGGATATTGATAAAGGGGCCTGGAATAATAATAATAATAATAATAATATTTAATTTTTATATAGCGCTTAATACAAATGTCTCTAAGCGCTTTACAAATATACTCTTACTCATTGTCAGTTGAATAATTGTTTTTTGTTACAGAGTCGATGTTGAAATCAGGTCCATATTAGGTCTTTTTAGCCTACATGCTAACAAAGACATACCTCTGACAAAGACACAAGGCCCATCATGGTTGGTAATTGGAGTGGTTTTGAAAGAAGATTTTTCTTTTTCTTTTTTTTCGGGGGGGGGGGGGGTGTTTGGGGGAGGGGGACTTCAGCCCCCAAAGCCCCCTCTAGAACTGCTACTGACTGGTGGTTACACAAGATAGAGCTATTCAATGTCCTTTTAAAATGTTTCAACTGAGGATAAGGAAGCTGAAAACAGCCTGGACTTCCATGTAATATGTACTTTAGAAAAAAACTATATGCCTGTGAATAAGGGCAGCAGTCTCTAAAATGGGAAGATTCAACAAGAATAATGATAAATGGTTGTAACCATGGTAACAATGATACTCTAGTTTAGCATCCTATGAATACTATGAGGTCTGGAATATAATTAATCAATTCTTGCTGCTTTTCTACAGATCAATCCTTCTGTATAAACTAGGTCTTTGACATCCCAAACACAAGAGAGAGAAAAAAAATCCACCCTGAAGGATAAAAGGGAAAGACTTTTAAATAAAATCCCAAGAGAAACCTAGCAATTCCTTTCTTGCATTCGGACAAACAATCAGATATATGTGCCAAATCAGACTGGGACAAAGACATTAAGGAAACAGCCCAGCGGCTGCAAAACACAGGAATAAAGACTGGCTAAAATCATGAATAGTCGCAAAGAATGCTGACACCATAGCTAATTGTAATTTCACAAATTGTCAAGCAGAGAGAGAGAGAGAGCATATATGAAGGCAGAGAACCGGAAAAGTAATGACAAACTGAAAACTGAGAAGGAAGAAGAAAAAAAGGAGTAAGACAGTGTCAGAATAGCTCTATAAACTTTGCCAAAGGCAGTGTTTTCTTTTAACCATTTTTCTGTTCTTTTCATCCATCTAGCACTTGTCAAATGGCAATCTATCACAAACTGTATCAACGCCATTAAGTCAATAGTGTTTCCATTTGCTCCAATCACTCTTTGTTTTGAAGTCAGTTTTTTTTAGTCATTTTTTTTCAAAACCTCTCTGCTTTGTGTCAACTTCCAATTTTATGGCAACTTTTATTCCTTCCAGCTCTCTGCTGGCTCCTTCCCTATACATAGTTCTTTATATTCTATGCATTTAATTCACAGTTTTGGGAGCATTACTGCAGGGAAGTGGGGCAAAGCCTATTCTTAGTAAGGGAGGAGGGGAAAAAAAATCCCTAATGTCCCATTCTATTATACCTCGAAGGGCACTTCATAAAAACTTGAATTTCAAATCTGACTTTTATTACCTCTCCCTTGGGAAATTTACAAAAAAATAAAGAGAATTTCATGATAAAGTTTAGAAAGAGTGGGTTTCTTTGAATTGGTTTTATGGGGGCATTGATTGAACAATCATCACGTGTCTGTACAGTTGTGCAATTCATACAATCATTTATAATTTTCTCATGAAATGGAGCAACAGAAGATTGTTGAATACGAGACTCAATGCAAGAATTTCAAATAGTAGTTAAACTAGAAACCTCCAAAAGTGAAGAACCACACGTAGCCCCATGCCTCATGAACAAAGACTAGGGGTTTACCTTTGCTATACCACAGTTTATGTACGAACCTCCTAAAATTGACTGTGATTTAATTTCATGATAATAAAAAATCAATTTTATACTGTAGCATGATCATGCAAATTACAAAGTTTCATCAAATATAGGCAAGCTATAAATTTGGTTTACTCCTAAACAGAAATATAAATTTTGGAAATTGCTTTGATTTGATGGGAGTACGTGCTGCAGTATATTGTAGAAGGGTCGTGACATTCATACAAAAAGTCTTCGATTCAAGAAACGGTCTTGAGAAAAAGAAACAGCGCCATCTAATCATCATTGACGAATAACTCGAAAAACAGTATAGCCAGGCATAAATAATCTTTTCATATTGGACAGCCTAAAAGCCCAACAACAACCTTAAAGGTACTATGTCCCATTTGTAGCCAACATCAAATTCTGTAGAACTATCAGTGGGTTCCTAACTGCAAAAGCTGGTGACTCTCCTCTACACGGGGCCTCCATTTAACGTCCTATCTGAGGGACGGAGAGTTTTGTAATTGATCATAGCCTGCGTCTATGAAACAAGGGAGGGGAACGTTAACACACAACACAGGCTTCATCCGTCATCTGCCTGGGTTGGATTCAAACCCACGATCTTTGGCTCGACGGGCAGAGGCTTCACTGACTGAGCCGACTTGCCTCATCCTCTATTCCTCTTCCCATCCAAACCCTCTTCTCTGATCCTGGGGGGTGTTTCACAAAGATCCTAAGTTGAACTCATCTCTAAGTTGGACTTAAAAATTATGGCATGCTGTTAGCATCTATGAAAATTTTTTGTAAAACTTATTTTAAAAGGCATAAAATGTTGATTCAAATCGTTCATATTTTCTATTATCAAGGAGATTTCATGTTCTTGATGTGGAATTTATAAAAAGTCTAAAATACTTGAACTTTAGCTTTTGAATATATTTTTATTTTAAGGCTACAAATGGCTCTCCATAATTTTTATGTCCAACTTCAGAGTTAAGTTCGACTTAGGATCTTTGTGAAACACCCCCTGCTTCTTTCTTCCTTCCATATGACAGCATACATCTAGGTCGGATATGAACATGTTAGCCTTCTCAGGGGCGTCGTCTCCTTCCATCGTCATGGATACAAGTTATACATCCGTTTGACCGTGGACTTCAAATGTTAACTGTTCTCATGCGTGCATTTCCTGAATACACTTTCAATTAATTGCCCATTCAAAAACAAATAACTCATCTGCGAAAAACTTGATTTGCAAATAATTGAATTGCAAAGTACTATTGGCTATCTTGGGAAAAATTAAGAGAATGTCATTTTGTTTGAGTGACTTCCATGTACTTTTTAGTTGCAAGTTTTCATGTATATCCGTTATACTGTGAAGTTACAAATGTAGCTTATACAATAGAGTAAAAGAATAAAATAATGTAAATAGAAAATTAATAAAACATCTCTGACGAATGGATATGAGATATGGAAAAAAAAGGGCCAAACTATAAAGATAAAGAAATGATCAATATGGCATGAAGACTATTGATGATTGTTATAACAACCAGGTAAGGGGTTACCTTTGTTATAGGGAGAGAACATCAATGTGCATTGAATTAGAATATTGGGTGCTATTACTATTAATAAACCTAATTTGGGTTAAGCCGATTCATTCCAGTCATGCTCCAAAAGCATCAAGAAAAATAAGTTGATTTTGGGAAAAGCCAAGGTGATGAATTATAAAGGACCCGAACCATGATCAAGCAAAAAGTACTTTGGTATAAAAAGAAGTGCACGAAAGGTAGTTCTATTTGAAAGATAAGCATGACCTGAATGTATGTATTGTTCAATCTAACTGACGCTGGAAGACCTATTATATCTTTTCAAATTTAGGCTATTTAAAAAATGAGGGCAGGGAGACAATGCGAAAGAAATCACAGTGGGAAGATTATTCTTTTGAGCCTTCGGGTTGACTCCTTTTCCTGAATAGCACCATTCCAGCGAGCTACCCGTACAGTAAAGATGACAATCGTATTATCTCTATCCCAGTTTACCTATTCAGAAGAAAGTTTGTCTGACAGCGGTGAAAAAATAACATTGACTTTGTGGCTTTTCACCATCTTAATCAGGGTGTCACGTTGGAGTGAAAGGCATACAGCCGAATATTTTTTTCCCCGCTTGATCATTTTCAAACAATACCGCGCAAGGTGGAACGACATATTTGCGTCCATTCAGATGTTTTTTCGGGATGCCTGGTTCTAGCCTTCAAAAGGGGACTCCCGCACACAAGCTGACCTTGATTAAGAGATGCATGTTGCGTGTTGCTTCCTTTGTTCCGACGATCCCTAACCAGAGGTGCCGCCTCACGCCTCGGCGACCTTCATGAGAATCATTCCGCACTTCAACGATTCAATACATAGCGCGATCATGTTTGTGTACAGGGCACGCAATCAAAACCGACCGAAGAAGAACACCGACGGGGATAGGTGTACGCTCTATTTTCCACTTGTTCCGCGCCCATTCAAGAGCCGTGAGGATTAACAGTTCCTTACAAAGAACACAATAAGGAAACAAAAACAAAGGCGGGAAACTGTACCGTGCTCTATGCGAGAATGATTCAACATGAGGGGTTCGCTGGTCTGTAAAATTCAGGTCGCAATGACTAGTTCAAGTGCAAGGCCTTCATTCAATCGACACGGCACGCCACTATTCTTATCATTTGTCATAATGACTTTAACCCATATTTCACGGCCTACTAACCGACTAATTGTGAGATTGTGGTGGATAAACAACCTTGATCATGGTTTATCTCTTTTTCCTCTCACCGCTAAATGGTGTTAATATTCAAAAGTTGACTTAAATGTGCTTTATGCAACTTTTTGTGTTTGTCCCAGATAGTTTTTCTTTCATGTAGGAAGAATGGAGCCTCCTACGACAAGGTTAATCAGGTTTATAACTCAATCAACAAGTTATGATTTTCACTGCCTCTCACGGTACAGATACAGATATGCAACCTCTTTAATTTTGAAAAAGATAAAAATCCTTCTAAATATTCCCGCAACAAAACTAATATAGTATCTGTCTCCGATGTATGTTTCAAACTGTCATATATCTTCAATTAATTCACTATTAATATTTTATTTTATATCCAAGAAATTCTTAATGATTTCTGTCCAGCACAAACCCCATTTAGAAACTAAGAAAAACCTCAACATTGATTGTTCCAATATCTCTACAGCTATTTAAGATGCTTTTCTGAACAAGCATTAAAGCATTTGCATGGATGAGACTTCCAGAATTTTCATTCAAAGCTTAGATAAAAATTGCTTCTATAATTTTGTTTGAGGTAAAATGTCAAGTCCTAACCCTGTCTGTCAACATTTTAAGCAATTCAATTTTTTAAAACCTAAAACAAAATGTAAACTGCTAAAGATGTTGCCTGGTGTATTTTATAGTGGGGTCTAGAGAACAGGGTTAAAGTTATACCAATTTAT